GTGAAAGTGTCGGGCAGGGTCACGAAGATACTGATACGTCTGAAGTTGAAGACACCAATGAATCATGTGAAAGTGATGTGCTTTCGTCGAGTGATGTGTCTTCGAGAGGTCAGATTGTCGATCTAATTTCATGTCACATTACCTTCAGAAGCTGATTCTTCTTCGACACTTTCAAGTTTTCTTTGTTTTGAAGAAGATTCCTTTTCTTCTTCGAGAAGTTTCCTTTTTAAAAGCGAATTTCGTAGCTTTTCTCGAACAGTATTTGACATTCAGTTTTTGGCGATGMARAATAGCCGATAAACGAGTAGTGGTCGCGCGGGCTTGRTAACAAACTAAAAATAGCTCTTTTTCTAAAAATAGAACGAAGGGCTGATATGATGGGTAACAGGGATTCCTTCTCTTACCTCATTTTCTCTTGATAATATTTACATCAAATTTACAATCTTTTAAAGTGAACGATTTTTTTCCAGTGTCTTCTCTCCTCTTTTCTCTCTTTAAGTTCCGGTCAATTTGCTAGGAATTCAAATCGCACTCTATATTGATATTGTTATGTCTGTATTCTTGATTAAAGAAACTGAAAAACAGYTCTTTRCCTGGAGGTGGTGTCAAGTTTTTTTCGTCGTTTTTGCACACTCACCTAACAGGTCAGTCCCYTGGTAATACGATGAAGGGAACATACATGRCGWTCATAGGATCTTTAAAAATTGATATTTTCCTTTCACAACTTCAAGGTGTGGCGCTATGGACCAAACATGTAAGGAATGGAGTAGAATTACCAGAGATCGCCCGTGACGATAACTATGATTTTAATTTTCAAGTGAGTATCAAGTAGTTTTCTTCACGGTTCCCTGCGCCATCTTGAAAGGTAGCTGTGCCTTTACATCGAAGCGARCGTGCAATGCTGTGAATAATAAACCCTTTTAGCGATCTCTTTTACGCTGTGTTAGCCTCAAAACYATGCAAAAAATTCTTTTATTCACTAACAGTCCATGGAAATGCAAGAGATCTGTGAGTATAGAAGACAATTGAAATAGTTTGAAATTTCACGAGTTCTATCAAAATTTCTGAATATTTTGTACACAATTGAGGCTAACACAGCGTAAAAGATATCGCGAAACTCAAYTATTCCCTCTGGCGACCATAATCCCTAGCGTTAAAACAATGGAATGTTTTGATRTGACGTAATTATGCGATAGGGCAATTTGGGTCGAGACAAAATGACTGTTTTGTTTTGCGCGACTATAGCACGTCGTATGAACCTAAGTATTGGAAGCAACCACTGAATGTCGATAATAATATAATAATAATATATATAATATAATAATATGTGGTATTTATATAGCGCCGATATCCTCTGAGTTCAAAGGCGCTTCACATGACTGTATAGATCATTTCCCACGGACCGCTGTTTAAGGCGCAATTGGCAGCCACGCGGCTTACAATCATGAGGGGTTAGTAATTAGTATGGGTTAGTAGTAAGGCCTAGCCACACACACCGGGAATCATTCCCTACTCTTATGCGAACAGTGGTGTGGGTTCTTTAACGTCCCTCTAATACAGGTTAGTGAGTGAAGTGTAGAGAGACGGGACCTCCGATTTTACGTCGTTATCCGAGAGGACGAGAAGATCTTACCATTTGCAGATGGAGAAAGACAAAGGCAGCAACTTCTCCTCAATTATTTTAAGACCCTGAGTGTTGGTCCGGCCGGGGTTTGAACCTGCGACCTCCCGCACTAAAGTCCGATGCTCTACCTACTGAGCTAACCGGTCGGCGGTTTTATAATAAACGATTTAATAAACGATAATAGGCGATTTGCATTATGGCGTCATTAACTACAACTACCAGAATGCTTTGCCCACTGTCTTTCGTAATGCAATTAGTKCCAATTGTTTTATTAATCTCCAAGGGGATTAAAAATCTGAATAACAATGAAAATGCGCAAGGYTCTCTGGTAGTTGTAGTAAAGTTACGCCATCATGCAAATGGCCTATTGTTGTTCCTTGTTTTATTTGTAGGATATTCAGTTTATGAATAAGGAAGTGCATTTCAAACCCGTAAGTATAAACTCACCCAAGAAATCTAATCGCGTTTAATTTACATTTGTCGTTACACTCGCATTGCAGACTTTAATGCCACAGCTGTACGTCCGTTTTTAGCATGTATTTATTAGTATTTTAACCTTCAAGTTAAAAAGTCATTTGTATCACTTTAAAGTTCACTGATAGTTGATCGACTGACACGAAAGCTCGTCGGAAAATAATTTCCTTTAATTAACGTAAACGAAGCTGTTTTCACCCCACATCGTGTTTTAATGTGTTTTAATGTTATTTACAGGGTGATAATTTAATTCATACTTGTATTTACGACACAACTAAACGTGATGGTCTCACTTACGTAAGTATTTAATAAGCCATTATATAGAGTACCCGTTCTCAGTCGTTCTCTCCTCTCTCGCGCGAAATATATCATGGACATGTTGCTGTTGTGTTTCAGCCGTTTTTGCTATCAAGAAGCATTACCTATTTCCCAAACAGGTTTTTTAAAATTTTCTAGTGTGTAGGCGTCTTATTTAAGGTTCTTGACTGACATGTATTCTCGACATTGGATAGTTGATACAGTTTCAAATTCATAGCGAAAAACCGTTGCTCTATTTGACAACAGATTTTCTTGCCTGACCAAACACAATAGAGACGACAAGAAAATGTCGTTATTAAAATAGTCTTGAAAATTTGCACTTTCCCCTAGTAGAGACTAACCCTGTATTTCCATAAGACCTAATGTATGAGAATAGAGTACTTTGACAAGGAATGTCCGTCCTCCGTGCTTTTTATTATGCATATCCGCCATCTTGAAACTTTTATCAATACCATGATGCACTTCGCCGAAATAAWTGACGTCATTAACAGGATTGACACCATTCATTTGAATTGATAATAGGGTGGAGAATCTACAAGACAAGAAATGTGTTTGAACTTCCTGTTTTACTATCCTCTGATTCCCAACCTGGATCAAGTTTGTCTCTCACTTGATCTTCGACCTGGAGAGGCCATCATGACCAAATACTACCCGTGAGTATCCCCTAGGGTCTTGTTTTGTCGACGTTTTCACTATATTAAAAATCATATCGAGAAAGCCCTTGGGACGAGGCTGCAAGGATTCATTGGTGTTGGGCGGCCATTCTACGCTCGCCATTTTGTTTAGAGTGAAACAATTGATTGCGTGATTGTGTTCTGGTTCATTGATACTAATAAATTGTCTCTAAATAACCTCTTTATTTTAGAGCAGAGTCACATAAACCAAGAAATAAAAACTAAAAAATGCTACTAATAGTCGTTAGAACTGAACYAGAACAGTTTATTTGATCCAATAAGCAATACTCAAGAGAACACTATAGAGTGGTTTTCATTATTCATTAACCCGTGAAACACACTTTAGCGTATAATTTATCGCTATTACACTTTGGCTCTTTTGTTTTTTATTGTCTATACGAGACTATTACGATCTATTACACTCTAATTATTACACTTTGTTTCACGGGTTTATGGAAACCACTCTAACAATCAAAGTAATCTCTTTGTACTGTTCTGGTTCAGTAATAGTGTCTAAATAGTGCCTATTAGTTACTAAGTATTTAGTTTCTATTTCATGGTTCAAGTGACTCTGCTCTAGTATTTAGTTTGGTTTTATTCCATGTTTTTTTTCTTGTGTTTTGTCTACTTAGGTGTATAAGTGTAATATGTATTTTTCACGGCTTTTTGACCTCACTATCAAAATAGCCGACTAATTTTGCCTCAGTAGTCACACACAAAGGAATCAAGACGAGGCGCCGTGCGTAAGGCTCAGTCATTCGTGAATAGACAATAGTTTTGCGCCTCGTCTTGATTCCTTTGTATTTGACTACTGAGGCGAAATTCGCAAATCGGCTATTCGACTCGCGGGTTCTTCTCCAAGTGGACTTCTTGCATTCATTGTTAGGTGCAAGGGCACGCTGTACTTACCCCTTCCCTATGGCCCTGGATTTGATATATTGTTTGATGGGTGATAGGGAAATTCAAGGCCAATACCGAAGCGTGTGGTGGAATGCGATCACGATAAGCAAGAAGAACTGGACRAATGAAATGACCGCTGACTACAGGAAAATGCTTGATGACGAGAAAGACTACTACGTCCCCTACCCATTTTGTAACAATAACAACATGAACATTTCACTCAAGGTGAGATTTGGGTTCCCTGTTGTGCATAATATTGTGAGAGCCTGGACTCTATATGAATTTTCTCTTTCTCCCCTGCAACTTTTTCTTGTTGTTGTCGTCGTTAATTCTTCTACTTCTTTCAATTCAATTCAATTCAATTCAATTTTATTTACGAAAAATAACATACAATTATTACAAAAAGTAAATCTTGGCCTGCAAATAGCTTTGCTAGTCTAGGCGGGCCAGATTAATAAATAAATCTTTTTCGTCTTTTCTTCGTACTTGTTCGTTTATGGTCTTTTTTAACTATGACCTCTGTCTTCACTTATTAGTTCTCTTCGAATACATTTTGAAATGCATCTCATCAGAAACCACCCCTCCCCCTCCCCCCTTGAATGCCGGGAAAATTAACATTTCATCAATGTTAAAGGGACACTGTCAATGGATGACATGCGCAGTAACAGTCTCGCCTCTAACGGACTTTGAAAGTATTACCTTCGAGGTAAATCATTTTGTGGTGCTTTTGACACACTTTGGAATATTCTAGATCTGTTTACGTTTACGAGCTGATTTATGTCGCGCCAACTTGGAGTCATAAACTTGAAAACACTAGCCTAGTGTTTTCAAGTTTACTCGCGCATGCGTGCCATTGACAGTGTCCCTTTAAA